ATAAATATATTAGAGTTAGTGAGTATAAAGTTTAATGTACAAACGTTTAGTTGGGATAACTAGATTATTACCATTTTATTCATTTAAAAAAGTATTTTTTTTGTTTATGATTTATGATTTATGATTTATTCAAATTTATAAGATTCTTTTTTAGTAAAATTTTATTGATTAAATAATAATAATAATATAATATTTTAACATATAAAATGTAAAATTCATGAGTCAAATACATATATTATAAAAAAAAATAAAAGTATTAAAAGATCGAATCGAGTCAATATATTTATTTTTAGTATTAAATAATAAAATATGTCATTGTAATTAGTTTAAATATATATAAAGATTTATAAAATTGACTTAAAAGCACAAGGTTCCCACTTATGGTTTGATTAACATGACTAAAAAAGTTTCTCTAATTAGAAAAGAAAAAAAAAAACTAATGTATAAAACTGACAAGATGCTTATGTCAGAGAGAAAAGAACCATGAAGGGGCTGAGAATCAAACAGTGGAGGATGCAAGTTGGATGCATCGGTCAGCTTAATGGTAGAGATACAAGATTAAACAAGTTAACCGTACAATTAATATTAATTAATCACAATATTAATAGGTCTAATATTGGCTACCTACAGCTTTATTTTTTGTGGAATGCACGTAAGAGAAATATAATTATTTACCTCATCAGTTCCTAATATATATATATATATATATATCTATGTATGTAAATCTATGCTAATTAATAACCATAATTGAATTTCGCGTAATTTTTTTATTTTTATTTTTATTTTTACACGCACTAACCATGCTTTACACCACTCCAACACCAACATAAATTATAGGAAAGTGCAACTTTAATTAACCTTGTATTATATTTTAATTTATTTATTAATGTACGTATTGGTCATATAGGTTATATATATATATATAGAGAGAGAGAGAGACATTCGCTTCCGATGACTAATCAAAGTCATTAGATTATTAATATTATTATTACATATTGTCTTGTATGTATGTATGCTTCTATGTAAATCAGTTGATCTTTCAAGCTTCTTTACTTATCATGATTTTTTTTTTGGATACGGATTTATTCTTATGGTGTGATCATCAAACACCTACCAATTATTAAATTCATACACCACAATCAGACAGAAATCAAATATTCTATAAATATTAAGTGAGAATTTTTAGTTTAATTATTTAATTCTGACAATATAAGAACAAAAATACATGCACAATAACATACTTTAACTTAAATAGTTATTTCTACTCTTATATTGAGAGTCAATTTTAATTATTTATTGTTCGATATAATTTTTTTATACGTTATATTGTATTATAAAAAAATAATAATTAAATATACATAATATTCGTCTCAACATTCATTTAAATATAGTGATTATTCTATATGCGTAATCACATGATTTGGTCTTAAATTAATTTATACGCATATTATTAGATATAATATGTAGTACAGATGGAATCATTAGGGGATATCACATTGAATATGATCGTGTATATTATAATTATTTAGATTAATTAATCAAAATTTATTTAATTAAGGGTAAACTTTGAATTGGCTTTCATTTGTTAATGCTTCCCTAAAAGCAACACATGTAGGGCCTGCCGGTTTGAGTGGAGCAATGGGAGTTGAGGATTGCAGAATCCTATTAGTAGTACTTTGTGT